ATATAAACCTGTGGATAGAGGCAGTCGGTGTTTTCAGAAACAGCAAGAGGATATCCGTGTTTCTCATCGAGAAACTCCCTGCGGAGAAAAATGCCTAATATTTGAAACATGTGTTGTTAATTAATCCTAACAGCTTACATCTTCTCCAGAAATCATGTTAGACTGACTCCACACGCCAAACTTCCTTTACCAAGTCTGTTAATAGCCAAATGAAAAAAAAGGAGTGTAAATTGATACAAACAAAACCATATATGACAGAATTCTGATTGGGAGATAAAATAGCAGAAGTGAATTTTCCATATCCTATATTAAAAGGTTAAAATGTTTTTCTAAGTTTTACTATAATGCAGTCTATTATAGTTTAACTATGATTGTTATGATTGATCAGTCATTTGTTGTTTGTAGCTGACATGTTTGGCTTGTAGACAGTATAACTAAACCACTTTCATTATTTGTTGTGTCTAACTTGCATCAAGTTTGTCTGCATGGACTATACATCAATCTATTTCGTTTTTTTTTTTTTTACAGTCCAGAATTTTGTTTTACTTGTCTTTACTGCACTAGGATCTGAGGGAGTTGTTAAATAACTGGCGTTCTGGATGATGTTAGGGATTAACCAATGAAATGGTCTGTTACGTCGCTTGTTTGGCGTGAGGTGCACGGAACTGTGGGTAAACCACCTGAAACATCAATGCTGATTGATTAATCAATGTCTGGCGTCATAAGGTCAAAAGCCACTCGTATGACACCTGATGCGACCTTCCACTACAACCGGTCAGATCTTATGTAGTGTAGGCCATCGAAAGTAAAAAAAAAATGGGCGAAATATAGATCTGTATTTTAATCAGATTGGACCTTGCATGAGCATTGAATTACGTTTTATTAGAAATACAGAAAAATGATAACTGAACATCTAAACTGCATTCATTACCTTAAACAAATTACTGGAACCAAACAGTTTCAGAACAACAATTACAATGACATGATTCAAACTTGTGTAGGCAGACAAACAAATTAATCTGTCTAGTGGGAATGCAAAAATGTGATGTGATTTCAAATGTGCCAGAGTTATTTCTCATGAGAAGCAGCATGCCCTATTAATGTGAGTCTCTATGCAAGCCTTCTGATCAAGGTCCTTTTTGTTCACATACACCAGTGTGAATGCACCCCTATGTGTAAAACTCCTGCTGTAGATTTGTCTACAACATTTAGCTTGTATTATAGTGCATGAATTTATTTACAAAAAATGTTAGGAGTTTGTGACATGTTTTCATCTCTGTTAAAAGGCAAGATGAGAGATATATGATGGCTGGTTTTAATGGGTTATAAATTGGCCAGATGTTGTTGGACTAATATTTTAAACTGTCATTATTTCCTCACTTAATGGCAAACCAGTAGGAATTATTAAAAATGAGGTTTGTCTTTTAATCTTGCTACATTACGGCAAGCGCATGTCTAGAGGGTCGGTTTTGGGTGTCCAGACCCTCCCCTTTTCGCACAAAACATATGTTTTTCTCCTTTATTCATTGCAATAATGTCAAACAAATATGTGAAGCATTACCACCATTTTGACCTCATCAACTCTAAATCTCTAATCCTATACATGTATGCACCTAAATGAGCAGAAACATTTTCTCAGAGCTTCTGATTTTATAAATATTCTAGGGGTAATCCTCAAGACCTCATGCCAGACTTGACTTTGTCTCCACCTCTGTGGCACCAATCCTGGACTCACCTCTGTGGTGGTCATAACCCATAACAAAAACTATTATCCAAATGTCATGATAAAATTAACTTTCAGTGCTTGCTGGCTGCGGAGGGGCAGTGAAGTTTTTAGGGTGGGGGGCTCAATCTGCAGTAGGTATTTTAGGAGGCATTGGCCCCCCTTGCCCCCTCGCTGGCTACGGGCCTGGTCTAATATCACCTTATTTATCACAGATGAAATGCCAAACTGATTTTTATTTCAATTGTTGAATTCTTGTTGTTTTGACAGTATTTTTCATGTAGATCTGCATTTTGGGAATATTTGCATAAACTATAGTTTTTTAAAATATTGACCTTGGAAGATAATTGGTATGCTAATGATGTGAATTTTATCTTGATAAAATTAAACAATGTCAATATTGCTTTCCATAAATAAATGAAATCAGATTTTTAAATTTCTGGCCTCTTATTTGTTTAAATACATGAATTTAACAAAAAAAAAATGGAATAAGTTTGGCAAGAGAACAGCAAGTCAAGAATAATTAATAGACTGAAGTGACTTTCTGGCACATAACTTGCTGTAAAATGAACATGAATAAACAATTTAAAATTTGTTGACGGGTGATATGTAAACATATCCAAATTTAAACAAATTAAAAATTTGTTAAACAAATCCAGTACACTTGCATTGAAGTATTTGACATAAAGATGTTTTATTCAGATATTCAACAATATGTGTCTTGTTAAATATAGTGGTGGAAGGTTAAATACTACATAAAATCTATGTAGGCCTGATGGTTCTAGTGTGAATTTATAGTTAACGGTAAATGAAAAATAAAAAATATGGATGTTTCAGGAAGTTAAAAATTATATGAGAACCATTCTGTTTGAAATTGCTTAATTTGCTTTATCTTGATCAAGGATATATTCTAAGGATGTAAAGTTTCAATAAAGTTGTATTGAAGAATGTTTGAGTGACTGATGTCTGGTTTCTTATCTAAAAATAATAAATCAAGTAACATTGTTCAGACCATAGGTTTATTTATGGTTAAATTGTTCAGAATCAATATGTGTATACATGTACATGTATGTATCAATATGTGTATATGTTAAATTTATATTACCAATGGATGAACTATTAAACATACATTATGCAAGAGCTAAATCTGCCTATTGCAGGCCTTTCTTTAGGCCAGAAATGTTTTCTAAATTATTAATTCGACACTACTGTAATTAACTGATCCAGGCCGTAATCAACTCTCAATGGCATCAGATTTCTCTGATATTAAATAGATTAGAAATGTTCGGACATATTTTGATTTAATCTAAAAATGGAGGAGCGAGACTTGGCTTCGAACAACCATTACGGTGGTTGAAATTATTGCACACGTCTTGTTAAATCTTCAAAGGCTAATATCTTCGCTCGTAATAGAGTAATTTGAATGAAATTTTCAATATATTCATTTTGCTTTATCTATTTTTGAACTATTATAGCAAGAATGGCTAACTCTTTATCTAAATCTAACATAATGTATCTTTAAGAGGATGGTAATATGTGATGAGTATATATTGTGTGACAGGGGAAGCTGCAGTTTATATAGAAGATTGTGAATAGTATTACCTTACAACATGTAATGTTTTCATGCTTTTGTTATCATTATATACCCGTAGAAACTGTAGGCTGGGTGGCTTATTTGTCTCGCTGGGGAAGAGAAAATCACTAGAGTATCAGATTTTTAAAAGCATCCTTTATGAGAATTTTTATACCACTTATGTCTAGAAATAAGTGACAATATGGTGTTATATGAGCTGGGTTGACGGTTACTTACTTTGATATGATATTTGTATACTAGGGATGAATCATACTAAATGTATTGTGAACAGTTTGTAGGTTATATATATACACACATACATATGTCTGGTCATTACAATAATAGTGATTGGTAGACATAAACTATGATCTATTGATGAATGGGGGCTGAATGGTTAGCACGTGCGTGCTGTATCATGAGGTCTGTCATTGAGTCTACTGGCGTGGTTTCAAATCCCCGGTTGTACGTGACAAGGAGGAGGGTTACCTGTCCAACCTCGAAGGTTTTCTCTGAGTCCTCCTGTTTCCTCCCACTGGTAAAGACCCCTACGCACACACCTAGTCAGTGTTGAGTGGATGTTAAACCCCATTTCTCTGTCTCTATTGATGAATCCTGTGCTCTATAACAGGCCCGGACTGTACAGCGCAGTGGACGCTTACGGCTAGCCTCCGGATCCATTCACTTTATTTGAATTGTTCATTTGTTTGTGATTTTTTGCGTATTGTGTCTTTTTCCATATATTTGTGTTTTCTTTTGTGTAAATTATGTGTGGTGCAGTCCCCCTGCACTTACTATTAAGTGTATACACTTCTCTTCTTTATTAGCAAATGAGGGTAAAAAAAACAAAACACCGTTGGCAATACATAATAAATAATGTACAAACTAAAAAAAAACCTTGTTAGACTTTAATTTAAAGGATAAAGAGGACTATAAAGTACCCTTTGTATCAAAGTGAGAAAAACTTCAATAACAATCAAAGATCTAAATATTGTTGTCTGTTTAATTTGTGTTAATTTAATCAGTCTTAATATTACAGACATGAAAAACATGAACTTACAGTTTATGTATGTATATGGTCAGAGATTAAAGTCATATATTATAATGTCTAGTTGTTTTGATCGATATACATATTTTTAGAAGAAAAAAAGCATTTGAATGGTGTACTTCTTTTCATATCATTTGACAAAGTATTTATTTGAATGTCAAGCTTCTTGTAGACTATTCAATAAAATAAGTGAATTGGACAAGTATTTTAACATGAATTATAAAGAAAATGTTGAATGAAAAAGGAGATAATATTATCCTTCAATGAACATTTTATTAGATACATTTGAATCTATTTAAAGAAATTTGGGTAGGATTTGTATGGTTGTATTTCACCCTGGCGTGGTTTTCTATTGTACGTGACAAGGAGTAGGGTTGCCTGTCCAACCTCGTGGGTTTTCTCCTCATCCTACAATTTCCTCTCGCTGCTAAAGACCCATAGTGTAATCAAATTATTGAAATAATGACCAAGTTTGTATGAAGTGGACAGTAAAAACCCCATCTTTCTCTCCCTCTCTATCTCTCTCTTTCTCTCTCTCCTTGTATTAACTGTAATTCTCTAAATTCTGCTGCAAATTATCAAAGGAAGTATTGTTATATGATAATCACTTGTGGTGTATATAAATGTATCTGATGATATTTTTCTTTGTTATATTACAGATAGATTACAAGTATTATTATATAAAGATGTTAAAGATGCCATTAAAGATGGCAGCAAACCGAAATCCTGTTTTCCCATCGAGAGCTTCTTTGGTCTCCAGTCAGGGTTCTCTTACGATAAGGAGAACAATGCTTTGGCCATTATATGTCAGAAACAAGTCACATTATTTTCGTTTGAAAATCGAGAAGACTTGATAAATTTTGAAATCAAGATCCGAAAAAGTTTAGGCGAAGGTAAGAATGTTTTTTTGTTTTTTGTTTTTCAGGTATATCAGATGTTTTAATGTCAAACATATGTTAGAAACTTGTCAGACCTGGCATAGAACTGGTTATGATGTAATAAAGAGACATTAAGTCTTTATCATCTAAAGACATAAAATACAGATACATTTATGTCTATGACTTCCTCCCTCTTTGAAGATGTAGTTGATAAATTGACTATAAATGTCTATAAATCATAAAAGCAAGTCGGCCATCGTGTATTTTTATAGGGTTTGTTTTTGTTTGAAATACTTTGTGTAGTAGTTTGTTTTAACCAAATAATAATCTATAAAACTTGTTAATTCAACATGCATAAACCATGACAGATTCCTGGGGATGGGGATTATGGGGTACATCAAAAATGCCCTTAAAGGGGCATTAGGTAAGATTAGATAAAGAGCTCACAGTTCTCACTATTATAGCTAAAAGACAGATAATGAAAACAGAATATGCTGAATATTTCAGTCAAATTGCTTCTCTCTGAATTGAAATATTAGCAATTCAATTTTAGGCTAGTCTCGATCGTCATTACTACCGTTGGACTGATGATAAACAAAGTCTTGATTGTCCATTTTTACGTTAAATCATTCATCACATATTCAAATCCACAAAGTATCACAGGCCAGCAATGATATCGAGAGTTGATTATGATCTTGATAAGTTAATTAATAATTTAGATAACATTTAAGGCCTACAGAAAGACCTGCAATAGGCATGCCATTAGCCCGTCACAGCTTTTAGCTTACCGGTAATTAAAGGAAGTACAAATGTATGATGTTAAAGTTTGAAAATATGTTTCACAAAATTCAAATAGTACTCATTAATTAGGGTACTTTAGATTTTTGATTTTCGACGAATCTTCGAAGATACTAGGCGCCAAATTTTGAAAATTTAAACATACATTATGCAAGAGCTAAATCTGCCTATTGCAGGTCTTTCTTTAGGCCTGAAATGTTATATAAACTATTAATTAGACATTAATCAACTTATCCAGACCATAATCAAATCTCGATGGCATCAGGTTTCTCCGATATTAAATAGATTAGAACAGTTCAGCCATATTTTGTTTTAAGCTTAAAATGGAGGAGCTAGAATTAACTTCGAAAAACCAGTGCCGTGGTTGAAATTATCGCTCGCAATAAAGTAATTTGAATGAAATTTTCAAATGATTAATTTTACATTATCTATTTTCGAACTATTATAGCAAGAATGGATAGCTCTTTATCTAAATCTTACATAATTTATCTTTAAATTTTTGCAAAAAACTTTTTTATTTATAAATATTTTTATATAGCATTTTACCCAGAGTTAAAGACTCATCTGATTTGACCAAAAATGGCAACATTTTTTGTCAGCGTAATTTTCCTTGGCCGCCATTGGCTAATTCAGTTTTTCAGTCCTAGATTAATTATTTATTGTTCGATTTGTAGAAAAAAAAGTTCATATGCTCCATGGTCCAAAATGTCATTGTTTTTTTGCTACCGGAATTGACGTAAATTTAGCAAAAACTACAATTTTGACAGTTTGGTACCACTTTTAGAAAGCAAATACTATTTTTTTCAAATCTGATATAACTGAAAGGGTGTGCCATCTAAATGCGCACAAAACATCGGGCTCAGTTTTTTAAATTTCGATTTCCTTTTTTTTCAATTAAAAGGTAAAAAATGGTGCCAAAAAAAAGCTATTTACAACCCATCCACCGTCTTCATATTTTCAAACATTTTTTCGTAACTTTCATAAACTCGTAGCAATAACCCATACGAAGATATGAAAATTAGTTTGTAATATGAGCAGTTGCCAAGATATAGGCAATTTAGCATGAGTCACTTTTCATGTTATTTTGTTTGTTAAAGAGTCAATTATTATTGGATTTTATGAGAGTAACACCATTTGATGCATAAAGCAATTTGAGTAGAATTTAAAATTGACACCGGAAGTACATTTAAATGTAAACTGAGACCAGTTTATATAGAATGATACCAAAAAACAGCTTCTAACGTCTTTCGTTACTGAGTTGTAACCAATTTTGACAGGGTTACTTTCAAAGATTTTTTTCACATTTTAATTTCCCATTAGAAAGTCTCATCAGCTAACTTCAGCTAACTTACCGGTAAGTTAGTAACCAATTTCGTCAGGATCATTATTTTTACAGTCGTTCGGATGGGACGAAAAACCGAGGTCCCATGTACACAGGTTGCATTTCAGACAGCAAGGGATGCAGGGTAGGGTATTTATTAGCAATCACAAATAGACTGTCCATTTTCTGGTTAGGTTTAGAAAAGTGATAAACAATTATATTAATTGATTCCCTTTCAATAGATAAATATGGAAATAATAATGGAGTGCTAATTTCTAGGTTTGGTTTTTGTAATAATTAATATTTTATTACTGGTGAAAAATAATTCTAGACCTTAACGTTATACTTCCTTTAATTAAGCTAAGACAATTTGTGTTATTTTTGGAAAAAATTAAGTGCTTGCAGGTGCTGGAAAAAAAACAGAAACAGAAAGACGTATGTTATACTTGTATGGTATATTATTTTGAAAAATATCGTTATTTTAATTTAAATTTAAATTTATGTAGACTGAGACAAATTCATATGATTTAAAAATATATTACATTGTATTAGATTTTTATTTGAGGAATACACACAGTAGTCACTTTAGTAACAATGGCTGATAGAGGCTAGCTCTCTTCGTTACTTCCCGATGCTAAAGACAACTTATATGAAAATAAGGCTTTCCCCCCCCACCTTTGTTCTGAGGCTATTTTGGAATCCTTACCGTCTATATTTCACCATGATTCTTCTTTGATCGCCAAAAGGAATCATTTCTTGCCACATCCGATGTAAATTTATAATAATCCAACACTATTTTCATGTAGAATTGTGTGATACAAAACACAAACAAAATTTGTTTGAATTAGTCAGCCGTTGTGAAACTTTAAGATATTTAACCATATTTTAGGTAGCAGAGTTATGGATCAAGTTTGTGTTTTGTGGGATTTCGATAAAAAAATTATTTCTATTTATTTATTTTTTACTTTGTAGAATCTTTTGAATATAAGATGATCATCGATTCTGCTTAAGATTAATGAAAATTATCATAGATTTTGTTTAAAACTTCTTCTCTGTATTTCTTAGATTAGTGAAACAATGTAGCTGAATGAATTTCAACAATTTCCATTAATTCTGGAAATGTCCCTTTCTCAAATTGTAGAATCTCGCAAACACTTTTTTTTTGATGGACAATCGGTATCAGATCTATTTTAGATTTATGTTCTGTGCTTTAAACATGCATTATGCAAGAGCTAAATCTGCATATTGCAGGTCTTTCTTTAGGCTTGAAATGTTTTCAAAAGTATTAATTAGACATTAATTAACTGATCCAGGCCTTAATCAATTCTCGATGGCATCAGATTTCACTGATATTAAATAGATTAGAATGGTTCAGCGATACTTTGATTTAATCAAATATGGTGGACCGATACTTAGCTTCGATCAACCAGTAGGTTGGTTGAAATTATTGCACACGTCTGTCAAACCTTCAAAGGCTAATATCTTCGCTTGCAATAGAGTAATTTGAATGAAATTTTCAATATATTCATTTTGCTTTATCTATTTTTGAACTATTATAGCAAGAATGGCCAGTTCTTTATCTAAATCTTACATAATGTATCTTTAATTATTGTGATGAGACGCAATTACAACAATTTCAGATAATTACTTTTTTCTTGTCAATTCACCATTAATAATTTACAGCATAAAGATTTTGCTTTTTGTTTACATAAAGGTTCATAATATGACAACTTGGACGGCTTAGCTGCTGTGTGCATATTAACTTTTGTCATATACATTTTCACGTTTCTATTTCAGAACGCCAGTTTTCTGTACAAGTTGCCAAAATGCCATCACACAGCAAATTACCTCACGATTTTATCCAAATGTTAATACATGGCCAGAAATTCTGTCTGATATCTCAGGTACCACCTAAAATACTTCAGAGTTGGCATATCTCTGATTTACGACGTTTTGGTACAGTTGATGGCAAATTTTTATTTGAAGGTGGATCACGTTGCAATAAAGGTACAGTGAACTCGATATGTTTCAATATTGTTTAGAAATATGAGAACATCGCTTTCAATAATAAATCTTTCTTTAACATTGAATATCCATGGTTCTACTTTTATATTGCTTTATAATAAAAATATTTTTTAAATCTTCAAAGGACCATGAAATTAATATTTGACCTACGATCACAAAATCGGTCAGAATGCAAATAAAATTAGCTTTTTTTTCAATTAATCCTATAAGTAAACTACTGGATTACACATAGATTTATATGATACATGTGGTTGATGGAATCAATACTATATTTATTGTAATATTTGTGATTAAAGGTTCTGGTTTACATGCTGTGATATCTGATCAAATAAAAGAAATAGATGAAATAATTAATCTAGCTAGTGTAGGTAAAACTACTAGTTGTCATAGAAATACCAACAAAAGAGGTAAATATTTTCACTTTGTTTTATATAGCCAACTAGAAATGTGATTGTATATTGTGGTCACCCCTGTCTGTCTCCTGGTCTATTGTCCACAATTGATTGTGGATGCTCTAGAGGCTAAACTGATTGACTCTAAAAAATACAATACAATTTATATGGAATACAATCACTGGTTTATACACATATAGCACAACGTTTCGACAAGTATTCTTTTTTTCATTTGTACTTGATAAGAGAATACTTGTTGAAACGTTGTGCTATATGTGTATAAACCAGTGATTGTATTCCATATAAATTGTATTGTGTTTTTTAATGTGCTCAATCACTAAATGCCACTCAATGATTGTCTCTAAATTTGCTGAAACGAAACAGTTGATAATTACTGTCGAAGTTATATCATACTGTATCAATTTGAAAAGTCTTGTAGAAATGCTAAAAAAATTTATCAGATTGTCTTGAAATTTTTACACATTGTTTATGTTCATGGAATGTAAAAGTCTATTGATTTCTGATACCTTGAATAGCTAAAATTCATCATATGACTACTGCTACATGTTTTGTATAAAACAAAGCACGAGAATTTTAATTACATCTGATTATTATGTCATTGGTTGTTGCTCTTTATAAGTTTTTAGTCCAAGCTTGTGCTTGGACGATTTGGCTGCAGTGGGTTCATGTTGCATTGTCTGACCACCTAAACATTTTTTCATAATAACTTTATAAGAACAATGGAAAAAAGTGATGATTTCAAAAATCAAACTATTCTTAACAATCTGATTAAAATACAGATCTATATTTTGTTTCGTTTTTTTATACTATCAATGGCCTCTACTACGCGGGTTATATAACAACTCTTCCAGATCCTACTGTAAAACGAAATTTTGAACCAAAAATGAAACGAAATAGGATCTGTGGTTTAATCAGATTGTATTCTGACCAATAATTGTTTGATTTGGATCTCTAAAATAATATTGTCCTTATATATGAAAGCTAATATAGATAGTAAAAAGGATTATTAGATTTCCCTTTAGATATATTATTTGTAGAATTGTAACACCTTTATCTTTTGTTCTTTATAATGAAAGCATGTATCAAATAACTGTTTACAATTAACTGTTTACCAGCATCTGTTAACACCGATTATCAATTTTTGCTCTCTAGAACTTAAAATTATTCTTTATTCCTGGGCCTGTTGAGTCTTTGTTTCCAACATTGACTTGAGACAGGAATTTATTAGTTCATCTTTGAACATTGAAGCTAATCGGACTTGCCCATCTGTATGTCTAGCTATAGACAGTGTATATACAAACAATGTCTAGAATGAACATCATATAGATATTAGAAATGTCATGGCTTGTAATCTAAACCTCTAATTCTATGTTGCATATTAGATGTATTTATTAGTATTACCTATGATTATTTATTGATGGGAGGGCGGGGTATAAGCGACACCATATGCATGTAGAATGGCATCTATAGATCTGATACAATGTCGTGAGAATATTCTATTATATTTAGTATATAATGGTATGATAGTAAACTGTACAGGATTGATTTAAAGGCTGAAAATACAATATTATTACAGCATTAACATACTGTGTTTACAAATCATAATAGACTGATATTGAATACTTGAAATAATACAGAACTGTGTCACTTCTTTGTGTCAAAAGGGGGGGGGGGGGTGGATGACCGAATGGTTAGCACGTATCATAAGGCCTGTCATTGAGTCAACTGGCGTGGTTTCGAATCCCCGGTTGTATGTTTTCTCCAGGTCCTCCCACTGCTAAAGACCCCTACGCGCAAGTGAATTATTGAAATAAAATTAAACCATATGTAAGTCCCGAAATGACCTAGTTTGTGTCGAGTGGTCGTTCAACCCCATTTCTCTCTCTCTCTCTCTTGTGTCAAAAGATTATCTCTAGATCCTTATTCTTGACATACTTACATCACAAGTTAACTACACATGTATCTTGAGATACCTAGAATCTGCGATTCTTAACATCCTGACATTCCAAGATTCAAAAATAGTTACTTAATTGCCACAAGCTCTGTATAATTGTAAGTGCAGGAAGACCACACAACACATAAATAAAACCCATTATACAAAGTTATAAGTTATAACTTTGTCTAATGGTATGTGAATTAAATATGGAAAATTTTCAAACGATGTAAACGTTATTTTTGTGCTAATTACATACATGTACATTAGAATACAACATTCTCCATAAAAAATTACCAAGAATTATTTTGGTTGAAGTCTTGTTATATTAAAGAGAATAGAAGCTTATAATTAACCCATTTCCTACCCAATTCTGGCCGGTTCGTTTCAAAATGGATTAAGAACCCTGGTTTTAACCCTTAGATCTTCAAGGTATAGCATCAAGGTTCATTGGGATTCTTGGATCTTGAGATGGCAAAGTGGGTATACATGCAAATTGAAATATTTATTCAGGGATCTCAAGATGTTCAAGCCAAGTAGTTAGGAGCTTAAATTGTTAGAATTTCACGATTAATAGGCAATATGTATATTTAACAGTTTTGTTAAAGACACTGATTATTGCTGACAAATGACATTGTGTTGCTTAGACTCATTACTAGGAAGAAGGAGATTTTGTTATGAAAATTTATTAATAATTTAAAATCTCACATGTTTTAACATGTGTTTAATAGTTATTGTTTACATATTCTATAATATATGGTAAATCAGTTTATCACGTTTAGTATAACTGTGTAATACATTTATTTACAAATACAACTGGCGGTAATTTTTACTTTGATGTCCATAGCAGTTATATCTCATAACAACCTGTCATGACATCATCATAGGTTGATATATTCGTTCATATCAACCGCTGATGACGTCATGACAGGTTGATATTTCATATCGAAATAACACAAAAAACCACAGAAATAATTTTTTTTTCTTTTGACAATTAAAATTTGTTATGGTACAGTTTCTAACATTCAGGACCGAAATAGACTGCGTACTTGTACGTGTATTTAGATCGGTTATCCATGTCTAAGACATCTTTCAGAGTTCTCTTTTCGTCCACATTGCGATTATTTCTTCACACACTACAAGACTTGAAAGTATTTATCGCCCAAGAGTTCCTTTGTAAAGTATTTTGGGGTACAGTCCACTTAAAACAGTCGGTCAAATCCTTCTCTGAACATACCGAAAACCTTCAATCATGGTTCACTGTCAGAATTCTTGGAAAAGAATGTCTTTTGGTCCAAATTTTCTGCAGGCTTTGGATAGATCCTCGTCGATATTTGCATTCACATCTATTAGATCGTCAATATGTTGGCTAAAAAGGATTGATTATTCGTCTGACTTCGTATTTCTATCCATTTTGTTTTTGCTTTCAATTCAATAGTCTAAAATGGCGACATATAAACAAAAACATGCATGAAATTGCACGTGATTACTTCGGTAATTTTCGCTATTTGGCGGAAACTATCAAGCAATTATCCAATCGTTGTTGCCTTTTAATGGAAGAGCCCATTAAATTTAAGGGTGAAATGGCGTTGTATATGTCGGATATAAACCTACTCTCCCTCGGATTGATATGGTAGAGAACGCTTGGGCTTCGCCCGCGCGTTCTCTACCATATCAACCTTGGGTAGGTTAATATCCTATACATAGTGCCTTATTTCCCTGTGAAACATGAAAATATGTTAATAACGGTGCACTTAGATAAAAAACACATAAGAGACAACAATGACCAATGTTTTATACCAGTCTCTACCTGATTCTAATCTGCTTCAGTACTACATTACACTGAACTCAGGACTAACATATGGTTTAATGGTTTAATTTTATTTCTATAATTCGCTTGTACGTATGACTATTTAGTCGTGGGAGGAAACTGGAGGACCTCGTGAAAATCCATGACGTTCGACAGGCAATCCTACTCCTTATCACGTTCAAGTGGGGAATCAAAACCACGCCACTTGACTCAATGGCAGGGCTTATGGTCTAAAGCCCCCCCCCCCCAATCCTGAAAGAGCACAAGACCATGTGGCCATTAGTTACTTTAGCTAGCACTATTTGCAGGTATTTAGTATATTACCACATGACTATAATACCGACGGATATTAACCAACCCTATAATCAATAGACTTCTTTGTATTTTCATTAAAATACAAATCATATTGTACAATTTCAGTCAGGAAAGTTGAATTGCAGTAATCACAATATTATATCAGAATGAGTGCACTACATACACCACTTTAATAGCTACCAATTAATATGATCAAACCTTCTATTATTTATGAGGCAGTTTTTTTCGTCACTGGCTCTTGAACTAGTAGGGGTCCAGATTTATGGATGATAGAGATTGGTTTTAACGTTTAACCGTGTTTATAAAATATTTTATGCAGTAAGCATCAGGTGGTGTATATATTAAGAGAAGTGATAAGTATCATTATGTAAATGATGGTGATATATTACTATTTACTTACATAGATAAGTATACATGTCATAATTCTCATTCAGCTGTAGCAATCAACTATATCTTTACACATTCTCTTTAATTGTTTATTTTGTTAGAGTTTCAACATGTTTGTCAATCTTGATGTATAAATGAATACTATACATTGCTTCAGTGAAGCTACTTAAACAATAAACTTGCCCGATAGCTTGCTCTATTATACATACTGTTAAAGCAACGGTCTCAAAATGAAATGAAATGAAATGGGGTAAAACGTCCTACTGTTCTGCTCTGACTGGGCTAATGAAGACAGGCATATGCCATACAGAGTGCTATGAGTGAAATTTTGCCCGGGCAGCAGCACTATGGCCTACTCTTATATCAAATTCCAACTGCCAAGGGATATTTTACGTGCATGCCAATGTATACACAGGACCTTGTTGGGTTTTTTTTGTCCCATCTGAATGACTAGACAGCTGTCTTTGTCAGGCCCCCTGTCCTGCACCCTGTATCATAAGGTTTGTCATTGAGTCAACTGGCATGGTTTCGATTCCCCGGTTGTACGTGACAAAGCCTGTCCAACCTTGTGGGTTTTCTCCGGGTGCTCCGGTTTCCTCCCACTGCTAAACATGATCAAACCAGTTACTATTATACACCTACTTTGATTAACTATGTGATTTACTTTTTAATCCTTTGTCAGTCATTGTAATCCCCTTGATATCAGCTGACTGAATGTTAAAACTAGTCAAATATGCCTAGTATTTAGAATATTTATGATTATCAATCTACTTAGGCTGAATTACAAAGAGTTGATTATTACTTATTATTTAAGAAGTCAGTTATCATTTGTACTAATCTTTAATAATCAAACCTTTGTGAGAACAGGCCACAGTTCACGATCAAAGTAATTAGTACATTTAACTTAGTACATTTAACTTTTCTGTCTTGCAGTCCACATTTAGCATACCAGGAACAGTTATTCTATAGCCATGTAAAAAGTACAAATTTCTTGAATTTTATTGCGGCTTGGAACAGTTCTCAAAATGAAACGCTTATCAGATGTATGCGTAGCTATAGACAGGGATGGGTTTTTGGTACTGTAGGCTTTAATATAACAAAGCAACTTGAAAAACAAAAGATAGACATTAAGTCTCATTTCTTTTTAATTGAAATTTAGGTTGCATCATATTGCACCTGGGAGCAAACAGAATCGGAACGAATCTGGACTCTCCAAGTATACTTGAGGTCAGCGCTGTCATTTTATATTGGACTGTACACTTGCTGTTTAAAAAGTTACAGCATATCTGGCAAGTTTGCCTTGAAATGAACATTTTTAGAGCATTCAGTGTAATTTTAAGTTCAGTTGATGGGTTTTATTAGAAGATACAATAATGTACATGCATGTTTACGTCTTTAAAAAGCATGAGTAGAGTAGTCAATATAGTTAAATTCTTTTGATTTCTTGTATTAAACTGTGTCTTCTGTTTGTGTCAGGTGTCTGTCTTGTTCAAGTTAGTTATTGAACCTGAATAATAGTTTTAATCATTGTGTGTATCTCTCGAATCCCAACATATATCCTACTACAACCTAAACTAGTGTCTGACAAATAGTCTACCTACTATCGTCTGTTTGCATGATGACTGCTGATCGTCTAACCAGAATATGTCCTGATTCGAATTTTCTTCTCTGATACAGGATCCCAGTTCAGTGAAGCCTTTGATTCCTTCAACACCTTCAGTAATTTCTTTAATAACAACCAGATGGTAGATCGTCCTAGCATGTTGAGCTGCTGCAACGAAAACAACAATCTCCACGAAGTTGATGAAATGGGCTTCCATAAACGTCACTCCATTAGTGTCATGGATTATCGTAGAATGGCAAGCTTGACAGAAAAGTTTAAACTCATGAGTATGGAAAATCTAGAAAGACAGAGAATGTTAGCCATGTATGATATTCCACCTAAATATGCAAGGGAAGTCCGGAAACAGAAGACAGCCCAAACAAGTAGTCCTAAAAAGACAAATACTAATCGTTATTCTGTATCTTGTTCAGAGCTCAAGGGAGGTAATGGTGAATTATCACGTTTGTTATCAGATAGTTTGTCACAGTCATTTAATACTCACATCTACACAAATACACCTCTACTTAAACCTGAATTACCAGTTGGTGCTCCTGCATCACCAAATCACCAAGATCCTTCCAGCAACTCTCACTATAGTCACTGTTACCAGAAAAATAAACCATTAACTATTAATCCACTATGTATAATAGAAGATGAAGCAAGAACTGCCTTTGATAGATCTAAAAGACAGGAGGCTATGCAGAGACTTCAGAAACAGGAGAATGATCTTCACAAAGAAATAACTCTCTTGGATGAAATTTTACAAGTGTGTAAAACCGATGAACCACAGGGAGCAACAAGCAAAAATTCCACAAATAGCTTATCAGAAAAAGCTTCTAGTCTCCCAAACAAAGTAAAAAAGGAGTTACGAGGAGAAAACTTCATGTCCAGTCAAACTTCAATTTCATCTTCATCAGAAGGCTGTGCTAAGTCGTCCTTGAGTCATTCTGATTTACTCTATCCTAAACCAGTGAAAAGAACTAAAATATCAGCTCCCCTGCCATATGTTAATCTTTCTCAGTTTGATGTTGGTGATGATAATGGGCGTGTTCATTTGAGTAAAGAAGGATTAGTCACAGGATCAAGTTCAGGAAGCATAAATAAATCACCAGATAAAAACCACAGCACACCCATTAAAAAATCCTCAGAATCATTATGTTCATCATCATCAGGTGGCTCTCATACAGCTCTTTATCCATCCGAGGCATGGATGAGAGAACCCATATATGCAAATGAGCCAAATAGATGTGAAACACCACCACCAGAATTACCTCCAAAGGGACCAGCATTGTTGCGCAAAAACAGATTGAGTAGGAATTCCACCTCATTTTCTCAATCTTCAAAAACTCCTCCTCCTCTTCCGCCAAGTCGAAATCGTAGTCGATCTCTTGGCTCACAAACCAAACTCCAGGTTAATGATAGTTCACAGACATTCAACTCAAAGAGTCACTCTTTTGATCAAGTTGTTCCACTAGCCCAAAAAGCAGGGGTTGAAGATACTTATTTGATGATGGGAGGCTTCCCTGATCAACCTAAGGAAAAGAAAAAATCTATGGTGTTTGATAGTCCAGAGGTTAAACAATTGTCTAAAGGAAATGCTGATGTTATGAATTGTTATATGGACATGGCAGCATTTTTCAAGAATGATGCAGAATCCAGAAAAGGTAAATCTATTCCGCAGGTGAAAGTGGAAGAGGCCATCTATGATACCATTGATGACACCATTGATAATCAGGCAGAACCTGCTTCTAAAGCACCAATCAGAGAAAGCAACTATATGGTGATGGAAGTTTCTAAATGCAGAAGAAAAAGTTCCACCTCTATTGAGGATCAACATAGTGCCTCACCAATTACAAATAAATCAAGCAGTCCTTTATGTATAAAGAGAAATTCTGTAATCCAACGTCTTCAAACTCTCCAGAATTATGTTAGCACAACAAAAGCGGGAGAAATGAATTCTGGTAATGGTTCTGTTGTTATACCCAAACCAACCATGCCTTTTCAAAACCTCCTGGAATTCAAACCACAGCATCTGCATTCTGCAGGTGTTTATATCAATCCTATCCAAGATACTAATAATTCAGAAGAGACTTCTCCTGAACCAACTTCCAAGAAAGAAGAAGGTTTTTTGGCACGTTTCAAAAGAAGGAACTCCAAGGATCAATCAAAAGCATCTTTGAGCACCGAAAACCTTATGACAAAAACATCTAGAACAAGTCTTTTTGAGAAAAGTTTATCTGAAGAAGGTGAGTTAGTGGAGAACAGCAGTAGCCCATTAAAAATCAGTCGCCAGAGATCTTCCAGTTTTCCTAACAGAAGAAGCTACCAAGAAGATGAAACAGATACCATAGAGATTGTGAATGATTCATTAAAATCTGATTCCACAAATGATGTATTTTCACATAGTGATGATCCCCCGGACGAGACGTTCTTTAGCTCTTCATCCATCAAGTTAAAAACTGGAAGTAAAAATAACATTGATGATGTAGAAGAACCTAAAAAAGAGATGCATGTATTAACTGTTCTTCATCTTCAACATGATCCTCCAGTTCAGAGCTTTTACAGCCAATACACCTCCTCTAAAACAGATGATGAAAAAATGATAGATTTACTTCATACTGATGATAAATTACATAACAAAAAATTTAATTATTCTTTTATGTCAGAATTAAAATCTAAATTAAGTCTACCATTAAGTAAAGCAGGATCAGAGTTACCTACCGAATGTCAGTCACCAGCATTACCACCACCACCAGTCTTACCACCTAAATTTAGAATGTACCCTACACTATCTCCTGTAGTAGAAACCACCCCTTCTAGTCCCCTGCCTCCAGCAGAACCCATATATGTAGAAATGACCGAACCAGCAATCAAACCTCAATCTATGTCAGAAACAGTGCAGCAGCCAGTAGCGCATCATTGTAACGAGACCAATCAACAAGATGAAGACTATTGTCAGAATATTAATATAGATTATAGGGAAACGTTTTCAGGTACGTCAGCATGCCACATGAAACATAAGTTTTGGCTAGAGTCCATGCCATTTGTTACTTATATTGCACCTGCTATTAAATATAGAAGGGTTAGTCTTCAGGTAGTGTAGTTGTTAAAAATAAAAGATGGACAGATTCTGAAATCGTCCTGAAGTTTTTTTTGTTCAAAAAACAGTTTTGAAGTCCTTTCAATCAAATGTTTTTTTGAAAAAAAAAAAATAATTATTGGCTGGAAGATTGACTGAGATTGTTAAATGTTTAATCAAGATCTTTCCAAAATAGTTTACTCTAAGTCTTGTTTTGAGCTCATGTTTAAGATTCAGCAGATTATTAATGCATGGTTTTATTGGTGTAGGACTGTAGGCCTATGTTTATTTACTTCTTGAAGTTTGGATAATCTAACAATGGTTTTATGGCTTTCAGAACAATAATTCCTGCTATCTTGGAATCATGTGGCTCAGGTAATTATTTTCAAATGCTAAATATTTTCTGCATGCATGATTTCTAAGACAATGGGCTTGGCAAATGGAATATTAGGCTGTGTAGCGTATTGATATTTTATTTTGCAACCAAGTTTCGTTATCAGCAATTCCAAAATAGATTCAAATACAATATTTGACATTCAGAAAGCTGTTCTGAAGAAGCATTGAAGAAAAGTCTTAAGCCCTGTTTAATCACTGACATGGCAATGATATACAATCACAATCAGTGATGGGATTTCAAAATTTTTCTTGTCGGACATTTTTTCCCAAAAATAATGGGGCATAACTCTTATCGTTATTTAAGCAGGCATTTTCAAACCACAATTAAGAATCATGTGTCAACAAAATATTCAATTAAAAGATAGGTGCATATCTTTGTATTAGCCGAAACAAATGTGACCAGAGGGCTTTAAATTGACCAGAAATAACATGTTATGTTTTTAGATTTTAAAGAACTTATATCCACTAACTGATACAGTTTTAAAAGTTCTTAGTGGGAGTGGATTTTTTCTAGAAAGTAATATTAGATTGTTGAGATATTTGTTTGATAAAGACAAATACCATGTTAAGAAAATTGATTGTTAATTGTTTCCGTGTGTATTTTAGTATCTTAATGGCAGCTGCAGTTATTTTTAACTGTACAGATATTTGTGTAGCAGTGTATTTTTATTTTAAGATTTCCCGGTACATAATTATTTGTGACGCAAACACCCTACCTACATCATCTTCATACCTATATTTGAATATGTATTTAGTTTTATTTGATCTTCATTTCATGATATATCAAAAGAATATCATACTCCTAGTTTACTTGAACTTATTTTCACATTTCCTAAGTATTAAGTTTTGTGAAACTGTTCGAGACTTTATAGCTTGACTTTTTCAACTAATAATTCCTATGGGGTGGCTCTGTCCAACCTCGTGGGTTTTCTCCGGGTTCTTCGGTTTCCTCCCACTGCTAAAGAACCCTACGCACAAGCGAATTATTGAAATAAAATTAAACCATATGTTAGTCCCGAAATGACCTAGTTTGTGTCGAGAGGACGTCCAGGAGGTCTCGGGGCAGTGGGGGGGTCCAACTGGGTTTCGTCTTGTGCAGGACAGGTGGCCTAGGATGGAACAGCATATAGTTGTTTGGATGGTACAAAAAAAATGAGGGTCCATGTACACATTATTTTGCATGTAAAATAACCTTTGGCAGAATTCAAAGACGAGGATGTGGAAATGCAACTGTCTGGACAAATTTTTCTCATAGTACACGGCATTGCATATTCCTGTTTTTATTAACCCACTTGGTGCAGAAAATTAAGATGTTAAACATCATTTCATTCCTACAGCAAAGAAAGTTCATAAAACAAAAAACAAATATCGTTCTGTTTACAATTATTTTGTAAAGCGCTTTTGGGATTAGACATAGAATGTTTTGATCTGGAATATTAGCTTATGATGTAGAAAGGTAATAAGATATAGCCAATTCCATAGTTCCATACACCTGTTGAATGTACAGAGTATACCTGGTTTTCCAAAGTTGTATGTGATATAATCTCATATCGAAATAAAGGTGTATTTACAGAATTAAAGGCTGTACATTCAGAGTACTGTCTTAGAAATGGGTATATTATATTCTGATGTTAGTGGAAATTTTGGGCCAGCCTTTTGTAACAGGATTGTTGCTGAGTTTCCTTGGGCTTTTCATCGACATACAAAAAAGAAACAATTAGTGAAAAGAAGACCCCATTTTGTATAATTTCTGTTAATTCGGATTACATGTATATAGATATTGTCCTTGATTATGTCATAGAATCTTGTCAAGGCAGCAATGATATTATATAGTATAAAGATTTTGTTTTTATTTACCTAATGATTTACAATGTGACAACCTTTATAGACTGCTCGGAAGACTTAGATGCTGTGGGCATATGATTCATTGCCTGGCAACCTAATTTTTTTATAGTGTTTAAGGTCATGAGACAACGAAGCCTATAGATCACTTTGAAAAATCTTGTGGACGTTTTAGAGGCTAAAGTTAGTATCCGATTGACTTTATATGAAACGTAGTGTTTAAGGTCATGAGATGAAGAAGCCTATCAATTTTCAAAGACTTCCAATGATTAAGGCAATTAATATTAAATGTTTTGTATGCTAAATGTTAGAATAGGGTAGAACTAGAAGCCAAATGGGTTGTTACTTGTAATCAGATTTTAGTGTTTTGTAAATGTTTTCATTTCTGACAAAAGAAAAAAATATTCTTACAACCATTGTAAACTTCCTGGATGACTTAGCTGCTGTGGGCTTATGTTGCGTTGCCTGGCAACCTATATTTTTTTATTGTGTAATGTATTGTTATTTTATTATTCAGGTGGTGCTATAGCATATGAAAGAGCTCTACAATCATTACAAAAGAAGAATCGTATCATAGTCCAAGTAGAAGATTTTAAAGAAAGATTAGCGAGAGATGACAGTGCTTCTATTTCCTCTAATGAATATCCAGAAACTTGTAGTTTACAAAGCAACACATCGGATAATCCAGATTGTTCTTGTAGTCCCGCTAAAACTGTGTTACGACCGCGATCAGGTAAAGAATATATAGTGGTGGAGAGAATACGTAAACTTAGTGATTCCTATAGTTCTTCACCTTCTAGTCCCCTTACCCCTACTTCACCAGCGTCAGTTTTTACGTTTGACATTCACGAACCCAGTTCTAATGTGACAGAAGGTACCGGTACCATACGCTCTGCTATATCACCACTTTCTAAAAGTAGTAAAAGTGACAATGACTCGGCTCCCACTTCTCCTTGGATACCCATACCCAAAAAGTGCCTTAGAAATCAGTCCACTTCATCCGAACATCGTTCACGGACGAGAAATGACAGTGTCTCTAATAGTGATAGTGCTACAAAAGAAGGCCACTATGTACCGGTTCAAAAAAGTGCTAGTAGTGCATCTCATAAAAACAGGAGAAGTGGTAGCTCAGCTGGGAGTGGTAAACGTAGAACACAGAGCACTCGATCTAAACATGATTTAGAGAAATCTCATTTAAAACTGGAATATTTATCTCAACCTGATAGTGACAGTGATAGTTTTAATTTAACCCTCCATAGTAAATGTGATAGTGTTACTTATAGAAAAACTTGCACGTCTGGTGCTTCACTACGATTAATTGGAAGTGAGGCTGGTGCTAAAGGTGATAGTGTGTACTTACAACTATGGGATACAAAAGCAACAAAATCAAATTCACCTAAAGCATCGGTCAGTTCTGAAACCTCCCCACCTATATCCCCAAATAATGCTTTACTATTACCGTTAACTCCCATTGATGATGATGATGAACAAGAATTGAATTATCTGGAAATGGATTTAGGACCGGCAACTAGCTCCTCCCTCATGCCAAAGAAATCTGTGCCAAAAAAACCCTCGAACGATATCGAATATACTGCCATTGACATGGTGGCTACAAAAGCCTTAAAAGACGCTGGTAAGGAGCATGCTCAAGGTCGTACAGATAGTTTGCGACGGACTAGAAGTATGAAATATCCGCCATTATCTCACCACTCTAGTTTAAGGGAACGCAAAGGATCGACTAGTTCTGCTAGAGAAAGGAAATTGAGTGCCAGTACTGTAGAATTTAAAGCATAGCGGTGACACTATTTAGTTATTGTTTTACCTCAATCCAAAAAACAAACCAAACAGTTTTAACTCTTAACTTACAAAACTTACACCAATTATATGTAATATATTATATATGCATCATCTTACTTTCTGCCTTTTTGTGTTCATTAATTCATCATTTTATTTATAAATAGGATTGTTTGTTAGAGGAATAAGTGAATGCTAAAACATTACAGAATTGTTAAGTTGATCCAAACTTAAAATAATTTAATCAAGTAGCACAATACTGCTGTATTTCTCACTAACTTAACTTAACTTTTTGCATTGGTTCTTTTTTTGTAAAATGAATTAGAATATCTACATCAATTCTAAAAACACAAAAAAAGGCATCAGCAATATGCAAAGAAACATTACCAAATTTCTATATGATGGTTATTCATATTCCTCTACTTAGCATATTCACATTTCTGAAGCATATCTGACACAGTGACATGCATCAAGTTTGCATAAGGTCGTATGTGTAGAATTCCAGAGTTTTGGGTGTACACATGTACCTTTAAAGAGGTGATAATTCAAGCATTAAAAGTGGATACAATTGGTATTTGGACCAATAAATAAGTATTTGGAAATTATTCCAAGAAAGAACATTTTGGGTGACTTTTAATGGCTGAATTTGTTTTGACCAGTGTGCTTCCATGATTGTAACTTTCAATTTTATAATAATTTTTGTACATCAGATGTCATCACATATAAATATTATATATTATATATATTTTCTTAATTTATACTTGATGTATACATTATAATGTATACTGTTTATTAAAGTTTAAAAACCATTTTAATCCATAACATCTTTAATTTACCAATCCCACCCTTTTTTTAAAACTGGATATTATGTACATGTATGGTTGTTAAATGTTGTCATTTTCTGTTGTTTTTTGTAACTTATTGTATGTGAAGATCACATGTACTTATTTTAATACATGTTGAGACCATTTTACTCTACCAGAGAATACATCTGGGGATTGTACGCCTCCAAAAATATTAAGGAAATCCTAGACAAGAATTATCAATGTTATTTCCTAAATGTAAATAACAATTCAGCTGGATTATTTCACTAACAGTCATCCAAAATGAATGGCATGTCATTTGGAATTTTTTTTTTAAAAAGTGGTTCTTTTAAAAATTGGCTTTAAGAGGGCTCAGACTTATTTGATGTTTTTTTTAAGGATCTAATGATAGTCAAGTTGTAATACAATTTACAAGGCATGTAACATGATTTAATGTTTCTCTTACAGTATATATTTTG